AAGACACTGGCATGGCCACACCTGTCAGGGGGTGCTTTCTCCCTCTCCCTCCGTTACCTCTCCAGCACATGTGCTCTGGCAAATTAAAACAAACAAACAAAAAACACTGAAATTCTGTTTGTCTGCATTTCATAAACTTGCACACCTTTGCAACTTTTTTTTTTTCTGGAAAACAGCTTTGATATCCAACAGATTTTAATTCAGTTGAAACAAATACACTGTGAGAAAACACTATTATGTATTATAGAATCCATGCTGTTAACTAATGCTTCTGGGAGGTGACCTAATTTAGAAAATAATTTAAGAAGACACAGGTGTTTTTTGTGTGTGTTATTATTTATTTATTCAGGTTTTTGCTTTAGGATGCATGTGCTCATCCGACAGAGAGAGAGTGAGAAATCACCTCCCGGGGAGGAAGCCACACTATAATCCCTTATCCTCCATTCTCCTTTGGGGATTTTAGGTGTGCACACATGTATGTGGTGTGATTTTTAAGCCACCAGATCGGGACTTGAACCATGGTTGTCCATGTGTAGTCTAGCACCTTACCATAAAGCTACCTGCTGGCCCCAAGAAGACACAATTTTAATAATAGTAAGATACGGTTATGGAGGGTAAATTGGTCTATAGGAAAGTCACCTGGTGACAGGAATGTAAAAGGTGCCATCTAGTTCACAGGTTTCTCAGAGCATTACATTGTTGCTGCTGATGAGAGACATTTCTGAAAACAGGAATTTAAGATTATTATGAGATGAGTAATGGCATTATGGTATTGGATACTAAAAAGAAACCTGTTCTATTTTTATAGAAATTATTTAAATAATGAAATTATTCAGCTTTTGCTACCTTGTAGAAGATTGAAGATTCTAAAATCCTTGTTTAAATGCTTCTGGTTAAATGTCTTCAAAAACAGCGATACATGGTTTAAATGATGTATCACAGATCTTATTCATTTAACAATAATGAGAGTGCCTTCCATATGCTAAGACCATTTGAAATAACCAAAAAGTACTAGGTAAAGGTCAAGGTCACTACTGTGGAGCAGCTTTCATAGAGGAGGGGGTGCAGGAAATTACAAATGAGCATCAAAATAGGAGAGCATATTAGGATAAGTTCACTGTCACATGATAGAGGAAATGGAGATCCCACACAAGCCGTATATATTACTTTGAAATGATTTTTCCTTATAACCAATATTCTTACCTATTGTTCACGATTCATAAATTAATCTCTCATTGCTCTTTGAAAGTGTAAAGAAAGTTTCCTTGAGTACAGAATCTTTTAGTTTTTCTATTTCAAGACCATAAGGTAGTGTCATTTGGCAGGTACACTTTGGCTTTCTCTTTTTAAGAAAAGGCACTTTTTGGGAACCAGCAGTTAGCGTAATGGCTATGTCGCTGGACTCCCACGTAGTCGACCGCGGTTCGCGTCCCGGACCCGGTGGCTTAAAACTCACGCCGGGCGCGTGTGCGTGCGTGCCCATGATCCCGAGAGGAGAATGGAGGAGAAGGGATTGCGGCGTGACCATCCCCCCTGGGGGGTGATTTCTCGCTTTCTGTCTCTATGTCTCTCTCTGTCTGTCTGGCGAGCGCACGCGCCCTATAGCGAAAATCTCTCTCAAAAAAAAAAAAAAAAGAAAAGGCACTTTTTAAGAAAAGGCACTTCACAAGTGGTAGCCAGGTAGCAAAGTAAATCAGGAATCCCTTCATATCTTCATTTTTCCCTTTTCTCCCCCTCAATTCTTAGACCCTGCTAACGAATGAATTCCCCTCTAAAGCTACTAAGAGACCCACAAATAGGCTTTATTTTCACTGTTTCAAACTACCAGATACATTTTTCTTCAAGTTGAAATGAATTATAACAGGTTACTCAGTAAAGTTTATTTTTCAGTTATAATATTATACTCTTGATTTTGTTACATAACTCATGAGCTATGCTTTTCCCCATCTTTTGAGCACTGAACCTAAACAACCTCTCTATAGGCTTTTTTTTTTTTTTGAGAAATTTTTGCTATAGGGCGCGTGCGCTCGCCAGACAGAGAGAGACAGAGAGACAGAAAGTGAGAAATCAACCCCTAGGGGGTTAGGTCACGCTGCAATCCCTTCTCCTCCATTCTCCTCTTGGGATCTTGGGCACGCACGCACACGCGCCCGGCGTGAGTTTAAGCCACCGGGTCCGGGACACGAACCGCAGTCGACTACGTGGGAGTCCAGCGACATAGCCATTACGCCAACTGCTGGTTCCCTCTCTAGGCTTTTGCAGCTAGAAAAATACAAGATTTCAACAAGTCATGGAAAACATGAAATTAAAATACTAGCTTATTTTGAAAATATTTAAAATCCATGCAGTTTTTCTGCTTTCTAGTAAATTTTCTAGGAAACTTTGAAGATCTCTAATGTGTGTGTACACACACACGTGCGCGCGCGTATACACATACATATGTATATACACATGTGTATCACATCATAATTAGTCACATGGACTAATTGTTTCTCATCTGCTCTTTCGCTGCGTGTTGCTTTCCTGTGCACGCCTTTTCCTAATTTGCCTTTCAGGTATAGACTGAATAAGCCAGGAGCAACTGATGTGATTTTTTTGAGCACATGCTCTGGCCAGAGCCAGACATTTATGACATTACATACTTTCAAGTTAAATTTTTGTTCTAATTATTCTTTGAAGCACACAGTGAGAGTAAAAATTCTCAAAATACCTACTCTTCATGTGGTAAGGATATTAAAGACTTTTTGTTATGCTTAAAAGAAGTGACAGTACTCATTATTTACTGCTACAATACCATAAACTAAGATCTCGCAGGTCATCCCCCAGATCATCCCCGGTACTTCAGTTTAGCACCCAACACTGTGGCATCAGCATGTCAAAAGCTAGGCAGTATTCCTGCAAGGCAACCCTGTCTGACTGTATCAGAATCTATCAGTTCTTCAAATCACAGATAATAAAGTGGCTTTGAGTTTTTAACAAAGCTATGGCTCGGAATGAGTAATTGTTATAAAATATATCGTCAAAACTAAACTACATCAAGTACAGGTGTTATAGGCTCTGGAAAATATGCTGGCACTAATTAGGGCTTCTGATTTCTCTAATCCCTTATGTAGTCTGCTGTAACTAAAACTGTCATTTTAGTTAGAGCTATAAAATATATGGTAAATTAGGTGGATGCTGTTGTATATGTGGTTATATGTTAAATATTGTATCAGAATCAATGACAGATATAAAACCTGAATGACATAAAACTTAAAGTTGAAATAAAATTAGATCAGTGTGCTAAAGTTTTGCTATAGGATACATGCACTTGTGAGAAAGAGAAACAGAGAGAACTAAATTACCTCCTAGGGATATGGCCATGCTGCAATTCCTTCTCCTCCACACGTAGGATTTTGGGTGCACATGCACCTGGCATTTTTTTTTAAGTGTACTTTATTTTTTAATAGACCATAGATTATTTTTTGAAAGAATTATTTAACTTTATTCATTTATTTTTAATTTGACAAGAGAGAGACAGAGACAGAGAAAGAGACAAAGTGAGAAAGCACTTTCCATTGGGGATGGTCACATTGCAATCCCTTCTCCATTTCTTCTCCACCTTTGAGATTTGGGGCACGCATGCCCATGTGCCTGGTGTTTTTTCCAGCTGCCAGGTCTTGAGCTCCAGTGGCGCAGTTGGCCTGGGATTCTGCTGTCTTAACCACCATGCCACCAGCTGGCCCTGGTTACTCCAGATTTCTAAATTTAGGGTTTAGAAAAGTCATGACATACAGAGACATTTTACAGAGAGCCAAATGACAAAAAGGGGTCAAGTAAGGTCATTTAAAAGACCAGAGACTTGGAAGTGTCTGTGTAAAGAATTCAGCTTTAAAACTTAACGTTTCCAGGTGAACAAATATTAGACCCTCTTTACTAATGCTATTTATTTTAGTGTTCTACTTCCTATCTCAGGTAAGGAGAGCTGAGATGCAGATAAATATTCATTAACATCTACTCTTACCTCTTTGGACCCATTTTCTTACCTGTAAAATAAAGTGAAAGGACAACACATTTTGTGAGTGTCACGTTTCCAGTATGGCAGTTTGCTATAACAAATTCGAAACTTTGTATTTTCAGAGTTTTGTTAGCATACTATTTTGTGCATTTACTGAGTGTTAACAAAGAAAAAAATACAGGAAAGAGTAAGCAGTAGTTTCCATACTCTGGGTGTCTTGATGCTTGAATCTATGCTGATAATTACTAGAATGAAAGCTCCAGTGTAAAGACTATGGCAGCCAGATCTTGAGTTTCTGATCTTTCTTTCTTCTCAACACTGATGACAATAAAGGAGGAAAGGCTAGTTCTTTTCACCTGAAGAACTGGAAAGTTGGAGGATGTGCTTCCTGGTCTGATTGAGAGCTGAAACATTGCCAGACCCATTGGTCAAAGCTCTGGGTCTTGCTCCTTAACATTCTCAATCCAGTGAGAACTGATGCTCAAAGGAACTTTGCCGTTCCTCTGTCCCTATCTTGAACTGTCAGTGTAATACAGGAAGAAAAAGTAAAGGAATGCCTTGTAAGAATTGTAATGGAGGGCAAGAGGGTAAAAGTAGAAATAATAATTAACATTTATGAAATGCCTACCATTTTCCAAGTACTGTTTAAGAACTTAAGTATTATCCACAATTTATAGTCTCATAAATTTGCCCAGGGTCACCAAGATCCTTAACAAATGACTTGAACTCAAGAGTTCATCCCACAACATCCTGCCACATGTCAATAACATATTCACTACTGAGGTGTATGTGAATTTTATGTTTTTAACATATAACTTTAGGAATTTTAAATATCTAGGATTCTCAAAGATCTTGAATTAATATTTTTCCTCATATTTACCAACAGTATTAGTGTCTTGCTAAAAGTATCACAGCAATTATTTCTTAAATTTGCCATGAACATTTGGACTCTGGGATTTTACTTCAAAGCAATGATGTTTATTATGTTGCTTAAACTTTATAGACAAGAGAAGAAAGGAAAATGGAGGCAATTTTGCAAGCTTTTGCCAGACTCGAAAAAAGAGAGAAGAGAAGAGAACAAGCTTTGGAAAGGATCAGCACAGCCAAAACTGAAGTCAAAACCGAATGTAAAGATGCACAGATTGTCAGTGATGCTGAAGTTATTCAGGTACTGTTATTCAGGTCGAGTTTTATTTTCATACTTAAATGCTTTCAGATAAAACTTCACATAATTTAATTGTATCAATGAAGAATTTTTTTAATAACACCTGTTATGAGCCTTTTTTCCCTTTTTTCTTTGTGCTATAGGTCACATGTGCTTCCCAGAGAGAAGGGGGAGGGAGAGAGGGAGGGAAAGTGTTTAGAAAGCACTGCTTAGGGGATGATCACTCTGCAGTTCCTTCGGCATTTCTCTGCTTGGGACTTGGGGCATGTATACACATGTACCTGACATTTTCAAGCCTTCTGGTTCCAGGACTTGAACCGCTTAGTTGGCCATGGGAGATCTGGTGTCTTAACTACCATATCACCAGCTGGCCCAGAAATGAGACAGTGTTTATATCCTATGGAAAATTAGAATTGGGGTTTAAGATTAAATGTGCTTTGTTTCTGAGTAAACATTTTTAGTTATGCCAATCTATTATATATCAGAACTCATAAAGAAATATTGGAAAAATAGTTTCTGAAGTAGATTAATGCTATTGCATTTGCTGATACAAACATTGGATACTATGTTTATGGGTATAAAGCTCTATTCTGTTGTATTTTGAATCAGGAACAAGCAAAAGAAGAAACTACTAGCAAGCCAACCCCTGCCAAAGTGAATAGAACTAAACAGAGAAAAAGTTTTTCTCGGAGTAGAACTCACATTGGACAGCAGCGTCGAAGACACAGAACTGTCAGTATGTGTTCGGATATCCAGCCATCTTCTCCTGATATAGAAGTTACTTCACAACAAAATGACATTGAAAATACTGTACTTGCAATAGAGCCAGAAACTGAAACTGCACTAGCAGAAATAATTACTGAAACTGAAGTTCCAGCACTTAATAAATGTCCTACAAAGTACCCTAAAACAAAGAAGGTATGATTCTTAGTGAACATAAGAACTGTTTTCTCAGAACAGTATCTTTTGTTATTAAATAATTATTTTTTAAAAATGAAAGTTATAACATCTTATAGTCAACTAAATAAGCATAGTTTTATACTTGAGTTTTTAAACTAAGAATGAGAATCATAAGACAATAAAATGAGTTACTATAAATATTTGTGTTATTGTAGAGTATATCACTATATCAAGCCTTTACTATTAGAGTTTATGCTTTGTTTGCCTACCTTAGGTACACAATTTACACTTCTGAGCCTAGTTTTAAATGTGTTGTCCTTTATTGTCTGCATTTTAAAATAAATCTATTGTATATGTAAACTATAATAAATTGATTTTCAAAAAGTGTTATGAAAATTTATAGTTTTAGATCCAGTTATCAACAAAAACCTTTGAAAAACTACAGATTTAATGAAGCAAGTATAAGACACTATTCACTGAATTAAACCAATCAGATCAGATATAACAGAACACCCTTATGAAACTACATGTTCTCTCCCACTGACTGGAGGACGCTGACCTGAGTGGAGACAGCAGAGCATCTTTAGGCTCTCTGGGGATGGAGTAGACATGCTTCTGTAACAAAGTACTTTGAAACTCCATTGATTTTTAACTTGGTTCTTAGCTAATTCAGTAGTTTGTAGGCATGCTAATAAACCATGAGAAGTGTACTTAGTAAAATTCTATTATGAATTTGGGATTAAAGTGTTATAGTTGAGATTCAGTAATGTCACAGAATGACAGGTTAGGTTAGAATGAAGTTCTTAACACAGCTGGATCTATTTTAAAGTTCATGTTCTCTTTATTGCCCACATCACATAGCTTTTCCCAGGCAAGCTAGTGCCTGCCTTTAATGGTGGGCATTTTTCCCACTTTGGAGAGAGAAAATTCCAGAAAAACAGATTTAGAAGTACAACTATTTTCTTGAGTACAAATATGACATAATTCCTACCCTTTCATTATTAAATGACTAAACCGTTGTGGTACTATATGTTTGCTTTATTTTTTAAAGTATTACTCATATAATTTTATTTATTAGTCAATTTGGAGAACAAAGCAAGCCTCTAGGTCTGGGACTCGAACTGCAGTTGGCCATGTGAGAATCCAGTGCTTTAACCAGCATGCCACCTGCTGGCCCCACTATACATTTATTTTATTATTTTTTAAAAGAGATTTTTACTATAAGGGTGTGTGTGCTTTCCAGAAAGACCGAGAGAGACAGAAAGTGAGAAATCACCCCCAGGGGGAATGGCCATGTGCAATCCTTTCTCTTCCATTCTCTTCAGGATTGTGGGTATCCACGCACATGCACCAAGTATGATTTTAAGCCACTAGGTTGGGACTCAAACCACAGTTGATTAAGTGGGAGTCCAGTGACATAACCATTACGCCATCTGTTGGCCCAACTATACATTTATTTCAATCCCTACAGAGATGGGGGTTCTTGTTGCCACCTGGTGGAGGATGTAGGTTCGTATATCCATCCTTATCTAAGTCACCTAAAAAGCCTCTTTTGCCTGCAGACTTTGCTTATGGTATATTGTAACTTTTAAACAATATGCTGTTTGAAAGAAAACCAAATTACCATGATTTCTCCTAAAGGCCTCATCCAGCTTAATGATAGTTACATGGTACTTACTCTGTGCTAGATACTATTCTAAGAGCTATTTTATGTAATCCTCACAACTGACTTTGTTGGCTAGGTTCTGTTACAACCTTTCTTTTACAGATGAAAAGCAAGATACATAAAAAATTATATATAACTTTCTCAGTCACACTGTACCTGGCAAAGTCAGAATTCACTCCCCATCAAAATAGTCTTGCTCCAGACAACATATACTTCACTAGTAAATTCTATCACCTACCCTAGAAAGGCAGTTCTGTATACAAAGATGCCAAAATGTTTATAGTTACTATCTGTGAAAGATAGGATGGGTAGATTTTTTTCATATGTGTGTGAATGTACATATGCACACATGTGCACTACTTTTATACATTTTTCATAAATTATGTCTATAATAGAAAATTAAAATAATATCATTTGGCAACTAGATGAAGATATGAATGCTCAGATACCAAAGAAAATGTTACTAATACCTAGTTTTTTTAAAAAGTGAATAATCATATTTTAGGATAAGCTATATTAATGTAGGCAATAAAGACTACATCAGATATACTGTAGATTTTAAAATTTTTATTTATTTATTTACCTATTTATTTGTTGTGATTTTCAAGCCGTGGGGTCCAGGAGTCAAACTGCAGTCAGCTACATGAGAATCCAGCACCTTAACCATGCCACCTGCTGGCCCACATTGTAGGTGAAAGAATCAGTGGAATTAAGAAAAAGACTAAATTTTCAAAGCATAGGACCTTTAAGAGATATTCATACCCATTACATTGTCAATGCTGACTTAAAAAAAAAAAATGTACATGCACTGGCCTCCTCTCCAGGAGATTCTGATGGGCAGCAGCTAGCATAAAAAAAAATTTTTTTAAATAAAATAAAAAAAACCCCACTGCCTTGAATAACTTTCTAACAAACTGAATATTTTATACATGTAATAGAAGCAGTGACAAACCTAAGTTTACTGTTTTGTTTAACAGAACAGAAATTTTAATAGAAGAGTAAATTCTGTCTCTTAGAATTTACTGTACTAAAAAGCATCAGTGTTTTATGTAATACAAATCTCACAGAAGCTATGTTTTATTCCTACAAATATTGTGTAAAAAATTTCATAATATTAAGTATAGAATGACATTACAGATAACCAAGAAAATGTAGCATAATACTGATATTTTTAGACATCATATATCAACTATTTCAGTTATCCAGTGTCTAACATTAGACAATATATGAATTTCAAATATTGTATTAGAATATTCTCAATAACAATCTGTGAAACTAAGTAACAGTGACCCAAATTTTTCTTTTCTCTAGCACTTGGTCAATGAATGGTTAAGTGAGAAGAATGAGAAGACAGGAAAACCTTCAGATAGCCTTTCAGAAAGGCCTCTGCGCATAACTACGGATCCCGAAGTGTTAGCTACACAGCTCAATTCTTTACCAGGTCTCACTTATAGCCCCCATGTGTACTCTACTCCTAAGCATTATATTAGATTTACTTCACCATTCCTTTCAGAAAAAAGGAGAAGAAAAGAACCTACTGAAAACATCTCTGGCTCATGTAAAAAGGTAAAGTTTTCTTTGGATGTAAAAAAAAATCTAGGGAGGGCCAAATGCCAATCTCATTGCTTTACTAGCATTCCTGTAGTGAAATGCTTCTGAAATCTGCTTTACAGTTCTAGGCCATGTAAACAGCTATTAACTGGATTCCTATTCATTTTATTCAGCGATGGTTGAAACAAGCTCTGGAAGAAGAAAATTCAGCAATTCTGCATAGATTTAATTCACCTTGTCAAGAAAGATCCAGAAGTCCTACAGTCAATGGTGAAAATAAAAGTCCACTACTATTAAATGATAGCTGTTCCCTTCCAGGTAGAATTTATTTTCAATATTATTTTAGTGTAAGGCATGTGGCTGTATATAAGCTATATATAGTTTTTAACAGGCATATTCATTAAAAAAATTTTTTTTAAAGATTTAATTTGAGGGCTGGCAGGTGGCGTTGTGGTTAAGGGCACTGGACACCCACATGGCCCACTGCTGTCAGTCCTGGACCTGGTGGCTTGCTTTCTCACTCTCTCTCTCTCTCACTCTTGCTCACTCTCTGGTAAAATTAAAAATAAATAAAGTTAAATTGATTATTTTTAATTTGTTATATGGCACATGCGTTCACCAAGTAAAGAAAGAGAGCAAGCTGAACCATGGTCAGCCACATGGGAGTCCAATGTCTTAACTACCATGCCACCTGCTGACCCCATTAACAGATATATTTTATTATTGCTATTTACTTTAGAAGAGAACAATAATGTTATTATTTTTTTGTGTTCTCTTAAGCCCTTTGGGTGAAGACAGATACAAAAACTTCAATTTGGGGCCAATCCATAGCATGATAATTAAAATGGCTGAATCCCACATGACTGACCATGTGGTTCAAGTCCCAGACATGGCAGTTTGAGAAACATGCTGGGGGTACATATGTGTGCATGCCTAAAATGCTGAAAGGAGGGAGAAATGAAGGAGAAGGGATTGTGGCATGACCATTCTCTATTGTTGGACTGTTTTCTCACTCCCCTACCCCCTCTGGTGAGCCCTCTGGCAAATTAAGAACACACACATATAAAAAATCCCTCAGTTTATAATACTATGTACAACGAAGTTTAATGGTTGAATTTTTTAGGCCTAGTGTTTGCTGCTTTCAGAAGGACTCTTACACATAATTTAAAGTAACATTAGCACTTGTAAGATTTCCTTAGGCCTATAACCCTTCAGGGAAGATAATGCTTGGTAATAGTGAAATTAATTTGGGAGTTGGGGGATTGCTTAATGTTAGTACCATTTTTTAAAACCCTGAAATTCAGTTTTAGAGTGAAAATCATAATTACTATTGTTGATATTTTGTCTTTCTCAGAATATAATATATTAAAAATTATTGCTAATACCAACAGTATAATTTCTTACAGCTTATTATTTCACCAACAGATTTAACTACTCCACTAAAGAAACGGAGACTTTACCAGTTGCTAGATTCTGTTTACTCAGAAACCTCCACACCGACTCCTTCACCATATGCTACACCAACTCACACAGATATTACATCTATGGACCCATCATTTGCCACCCCTCCACGGATAAAATCAGATGATGAAACATGTAGAAATGGTTATAAACCCATATATTCACCGGTTACCCCAGTAACACCTGGTACACCAGGAAATACCATGCACTTTGAGGTGAGAAATTTAAATGGAAAATTTTCAATCTTTGACGTTGTGGCTTAAGAGGTTGTTTTATTTTTTCCTTTACCATCTCATGTGTTGAAACAAAGTTTTTAAGAAACTAAAACAAAACATTAGGAACATGTAGTTATATGAAGTAAATGTTTTATTTTTACTAAAATGAGCATAACTTTTACCTTACTGACATACACAGCTAACTAAATTATAATATGTGTATGAAATCAACTTTAAAAAAAATATGTCATTTTGGGAATGGAAATAAGACTCGAAGAATCCCTAAATCCAAAGTCTGCAGTAGATCCTCATTTAAAATTTTCTAGAAATAAAGACTTACTTTTGTATTTTAATTTTTATTTCCAATTTTTTTTTATATAGAATATTTCTTCCCCAGAAAGTTCTCCAGAAATAAAGAGACGCACTTACAGTCAAGAGGTAAGAAATTACTAAAAAAACCTTGTGATTTTTTCCCACTTTAACCATTTTGTTAAATTTCTGACATATTTTAAAATAACAGCCCCAAGATGTGGTTATTTGTGTAATATATACTTTTTTTTTTTTTTAACTCTGTAAACAGGGATATGACAGATCTTCAACTCTTCTAACATTGGGGCCTTTTAGAAATTCCAATTTAACTGAACTGGGTCTGCAAGAAATAAAGACTATTGGTTATACCAGCCCTCGGAGTAGGACTGAAGTCAATAAGCAGTGTCCTGGAGAAAAGGAATCAGTGTCGGACCTTCAGCTGGGACTCGATGCAGTCGAGCCAACTGCCTTACATAAAACCCTGGAAATGCCTACACATGACAGGACTGAACCAAACAGCCAACTGGACTCGACTCACTCTGGACGGGGCACAATATATTCTTCCTGGGTAAAGAGTCCTGACAGAACGGGAGTTAACTTCTCAGTGAACTCCAACTTGAGGGACCTGACGCCCTCACATCAGTTGGAAGTTGGAGGAGGCTTCCGAATAAGTGAGTCAAAGTGCCTGATGCAGGATGATACTAGAGGCATGTTTATGGAAACAGCTGTGTTTTGTACTTCAGAAGATGGGCTTGTATCTGGTTTCGGACGGACTGTTAATGACAATTTGATCGACGGGAGTTGCACACCCCAGAATCCACCACAAAAGAAAAAGGTTACACATTTAACAATTTTAAGTTGTTTTTTGTTTTTTTGTTTTTTTGGGTTTTTTTTGTACTACTACTGAGGGTAATTGGTAGTTTATAGTATGTATTATGTAAGGCATTCTTACTTTATTCAGGTTGAAATTTATTTGTATGTTTTAAAATATTTATAAATAATGTTCACTTAAGTAGAAAGTATTTACAGCAAAGTTAAATATTCTAGTGATAAGGAAGACCTTATAAGGAGCATGGTTTCAGAGACAGAAACCTCAAAATGACTTACTCACCAAACAAGTAACTTCTACAAATGACCACTCCCCAATCAGAAAGAGTTCAGTAATGTTTGTTTTTTTATTACCCTTATTTTACATAGAACAACCTTGTATAGAAATGTCTTTTTCCTTGTCCATTCGATCTATAGTATTTAGGTCACAGATGTAAGAGGATTTTGGAAAGTATTACACTGATAGATAAGTATTATATATTAACAAGTTCCCTGATTTGCCACTATTATTTGGTTGGCAGACATATTAAGACAGTTAGAATGCTTTATTTTAAAGGGCTGGGAGAAACTACACTTATTTTAATTTGTTAACAGGCTTATTGCTTTGCAAGTCCAAGAATTTTAGTGATGTGTGCTTTTAATTTTTGTAACAGAATCCAGTTGGCAACTTTGTGGGAAGCAATGTAGTATAGTGGAAAGAGCACGGGCTTTCAAGTAAGACCTAGGTTCGAATCCCGGCTCCAACACTCACCAGCTGTGTGACCTTGAGTGAGTGAGTTACTCAATTTCCTCATCTGTAAAATGGGGATGATACCTATTTTATAGGGTTGTTGAGAGGATTAAATGAGATAATGTATATAAATCATCTAAGTACAATGCCTGGCATATAGTAGGCATTTGATAATTGTTAATTATTATTTGTTCAGAATCAATTACATATAATTTTCCTAGCATAAATATAGTAATTTTCTGTAGAAAAAAGAATTTCTTGATCTGACATATAAAGCAAGAATAAAAGATCTGCTTTCTTTTAATCTTTCTTGCCTAAGGTTTCTCTACTAGAATATCGTAAGAGACAACGTGAAGCTAGAAAAAGTGGCTCTAAGACAGAAAACTTTGCACTGGTGAATGTATCACCTCACGCAAGTGGAAACCTGAGCAACAACAATGGAGATGCGTGTGCCAACAGTAGTGAAAATGGAGAGCAGGTAGAAAGCAGTGCTAGCCTGCCCTTACCAGCACCAGCTGCAGTGTATAATGCTGCATCTGAAGAAACCAGCAATAACTGTCCTGTTAAGGAAGCTGCTGCCAGTGAGAAGAATGAGCCAGAGGTTCAATGGTAGGTCTGCTTTGAGTAGAGGACTCTAGAAAGAACATGCTTTTGTTAATGAACAAAATAAGCCGTTCTCTCAAGGTCAAGCAGATAGTGGTTTGTTGTCATAATTTGAAAGATCCTTTATGCTGATAGGATTTTAAACCAGCTATATATTTGCCTGTGTGGTTAAAGATCCACTGTTTTTACTACATGGATTTTATTCACATTTTCCACAGATTTTCCTTTCCAAAAAGCTTTTATCACAGTCAACCACTTGTAGTTTCTTTACAACTCATAGCAGATATTCTGAAAGAACCACCAGGTTTAGTGTTTCTTTGGTGGGAATAGAAGAAGCTACACAGAAGACAGGTCTTAAGTAAAGAGCATAAGGAAAACAGCCAGTTTGCTTTTTGGTTCCTTTCCCCTCAATCCTGACACAAGGCAGTCTGCTAGAAGTGTACTCTGGTACCTTTGGTAACCTGAAGTGACATTCTGAATGTTAATAACCTGTCTTCAACTGCTTGCTCCTTTTCACCAAGTAATTGCTGGAGACAGACCGAGTATGATGAAGTACTTAGATCAAATGAGGATTAAAATCTGTTTTGGGAGTGGCTAACAAAATAAGATTAGCTATTTTCAAAGTTTAATGGCACCATAGTATTTTTCCCAGTGGAGCAAAACCCATGGTCTGATAAGACAAGTTGATCATCAAGGGACAAAGAATAATCTAGCTCAGGTAGCTTCTTAGAAACTGAAGATATGTTTTATTTTAAAGGACTGCTTCAACTTCAGTGGAACAAGTGAGAGAAAGGAGTTACCAGAGAGCTCTGCTTCTCAGTGATCATCGAAAAGATAAAGACAGTGGTAAGTGAGCGTGTTCCTTCATCAGAACCCGGCGTCAACTACTCACTCTGCACCTTCATTCTTCACAGCTCTAATGTTCTCTGGGTCTGCTCTGCTTCATCTCCAGGGGGAGAGTCACCTCGTGTCTCATGCTCACCGAGTCATGTTCAGTCTCCACCTTCATCTCATTCAAATCACATTCCCCAGTTGCAAGCTAAGGGCCCAGTCCCTTCATTCAGTGAATTTATGGAAGGTCAGTAAGCAGATGACCTGTCATGATTATTGTTTAAAAACCCCTTCTTAAATCAGAAAAAAGAGAGCTTTTTTATAGTCGGTTTGAATAGTGCAATGTATATTGTTTCTTGGTGCTAATAAAAGGTAGTATTTATCATGTAATCTTACACTTACTACAGGTTTTTTCTGCTTTCCAGATCCTGATCCCGAAAATCCAGAACCCACAATTACAAATGAATGTCCATCCCCAGATTCTTCTCAAAATGCTTCTAAAAGCCCTTCTAAAATGAACAAGGTAATAACAATATTGACCTTTGAACACGGCCTTTCAGAAAAAATGATGGTAGTATGTCAACAGAGATTATTTTCCTGCTGTATGAAGGTATCAGTTTGTGATATCTGGACAGTTTTTCTGCCAAACAAACCCAGTTATGTTTACTTCTTATTCTCTCACACTCAACTGTGGCAAACTACATGACCAAATTTACTTTTTTTTTTTTTTTTTTAACTATAGGACTCATGCACTTGTTGAGAGAGAGAGAGACAGAGTGAGAAATCACTCCCCAGAGAGGTGGTCCATGTACACCACCTTCTCTGCCATTTCCCTCTTGGGATTTTGGGCACACATGTCCATGTGCCCAGTCCTACCTGGTCTGGGACTCAAACTGTGAAACTGGCCATGTGGGACCCTGCCACCTTCACCACCATGCCACCAGCTTGCCACCATTCATGTTTTTGAGCACACATTGATAGCTTTCATTTTCTGCCAAAGTTCCACGTCCATTCCACTGGTGTGGAGGAAATTCTTAATCTTTTTGGGAAATACTTGACCAGCCAAAAACAAAAGGTTAACAAAAGGTTAGGGTAACATTCTTTGAAAAGTATTATCCCCATCCTGTGTCATGCACATGAAGGTAATCTTATGTGGCATGTATGTCACTGGAAAGTAAATAGTTTGAGAGGAACTTATTTACCCAAACCAGTTTATCCTTAAGTTTGGTGTAGGTATTTCAGTTACAGACTTAACGCTTATGGAGTGCTTATGATTACTATAGTTCTTTTAAAATAAGGCTCAAAAAAGGGGGAAAAAGGCAGAGTAAGTTTAATGACTCTTCCTAAGTAAGAGTTGGTTCAGGGAATTCTGTCCATTAACAGAACTTGTTTGAAGTAACAAAAAAATGGACCTTTCAACATCCCAAGGCCCCTATAATTGACTTCTCAAACCTGTATTTCTTGCCTCTTTCAAGCTTACTACTTAAAAAAAAAAAAAAAAAAATTAAACACCAATAATAAGATGATGCTATGTTTATGTGATTTGTTTTCTTTTTATAGTCTGGTTCACCGGGACCTGTGATTCCTACTCAACCACATGGGAAAAAAACAGATCCCCACTGGGAGGCAGCAGTTATTGTAGCAGAAGCTGAGAATGGCGTTCACCTAAAAACCGAGCTCCAGCAAAAACAGCTCTCAAATAACACCCAAGCACTTTCAAAGACTCATCCTCAGCCACACATCCGCAGTTCATCTGAGCAACTTTCCCAAAAGCTGCCTTCTGCACCAACAAAGTTGCACTGTCCTCCGTCACCTCACATAGAAAACCCCCCAAAGTCGTCTACGCCTCACACACCTGTACAGCATGGTTATCTTTCACCAAAGCCTCCTTCACAGCAGTTAGGATCTCCCTACAGGCCGCATCACTCACAGTCACCTCAAGTTGGAACACCTCAGCGAGAGCCTCAGAGAAATTTTTATCCGGCAGCACAGAACCTTCAAGCCACTACTCAGCAGGCAACTTCCGGAGCGTTATTTACACAGACATCCTCAGGACAATCTTCAACATACAGTCAGTTTAACCCACAGAGTCTGAACAGCCCGGCACCACCCCCTCCACCCCCGCCGCCGCCTTCTTCATCCTATTATCAAAACCAGCAGCCCTCTGCAAACTTTCAGAATTATAATCAGCTCAAAGGTAGTCTTTCCCAACAAACTGTGTTTACATCAGGACCAAATCAAGCACTTCCTGGCACCACAAGCCAGCAGACAGTTCCGGGGCACCATGTTACTCCGGGGCATTTTTTGCCCTCTCAGAACCCTACCATTCACCATCAAACTTCGGCCGCTGTGGTCCCGCCCCCTCCTCCGCCACCCCCTGCTCCAGCACCACACCTCGTACAACAGCCGAATTCCCATCAGCAACACTCAGTAGCACATGTAGTAGGGCCTGTTCATGCTGTCACCCCCGGGTCGCATATTCATTCTCAAACTGCTGGACACCATTTACCACCACCCCCTCCACCTCCTGGTCCTGCCCCTCATCACCATCCACCGCCCCATCCTTCCACAGGACTCCAAGGTCTACAAGCACAACACCAGCATGTTGTAAATTCAGCACCCCCACCTCCTCCTCCACCTCCGCCTTCCAGTGTTTTGGCTTCTGGGCATCACACCACATCAGGTCAAGCCTTACACCATCCAGCTCATCAAGGACCTCCACTTTTTCCTTCAAGTGCTCATCCAGCTGTACCACCGTACCCCTCACAAGCTGCACATCATACTACTTTGGGACCGGGACCCCAACACCAGCCTTCTGGAACAGGGCCACACTGTCCATTGCCAGTTGCAGGTCCTCATCTCCAGCCCCAAGGACCAAACAGTATTCCAACACCTACTGCTTCAGGGTTCTGTCCTCATCCTGGCTCTGTGGCCCTGCCACATGGGGTCCAAGGACCTCAGCAGGCATCTCCAGTGCCTGGACAGATTCCAATTCACAGAGCACAGGTGCCACCAACATTTCAGAACAACTACCATGGTTCAGGGTGGCATTAAAATGGACTCCAAAACATTTTTTAAATGTTCTGTAAAATAAACTGTATATTTCATATGTACCTATTAAGGTACTTTTTAAAGCTTGTACATGAAACTTTGTATAAAAAAACACCAGTGCTCTTTTCATTGTATTTTACCCATTTTTGCTTTTTAAAATTCCTTAAAAATGTGCTGTTAAGCCAGTATTAGGTATCTTTATTTTGTAAGTGAACATTCCAGCTGTTTTCTCGCAGAGTTGATGCTAAATGAGCTTTACATTTTATTGTTCCAGTTAAATTCATTTAGTGAATGTTTTCTATATTATTTTATACATATGCATTAAGTATACAGCTAAGTAATGGCACTATGAGGATTTCATTTTTTAATTTCCTGTCAGTTCTGTGAGTGCATCATAGGTATAAAAATGCAATACAGATTTTTATAGTTTGATGTGGACATAACTCATTTTGTTTTATCGGTTTCTTGCAAGCAAAATGTAATTTAATGTATAGATGATTTCTAATGTCTCCCGACAAACTGTAAATACTGCATTTCTTTTGCGTATATAATTGCTTACAGCTTTTCTCATTTGATATATACCATTGTACATATGACAAGTCTTTTGCAAAACTGTGTGATCTTTGTGAAAGTAGTACAGTATATGACCTTTCATTTCTTTTTTATTTTAAATATACTGTCACATTGAAGCACTGGTTGGGCATTTTAATTCATGTTAATAAATCACAATTATGTCAGTTTTACCAAATTGTCCTGTACAACTTCTAAAACTGGGATCTGCTTAAGTGGGGTTTTTTGTTTTAAATAACCAGTGTTACAGTTCTCAAATATAATTTGTAAGAGGCCTTCAGTTTTCTTCAGCAACTATTATACCTCAGTTACATGGCAGCATCAGGAAGCAGTGAGGGATTGTTCCGGTAATGGTTCCTACTTACCATTTTTGCAGGAGCAAGAACGACAGGAAACAACTTAAGTAGCCATGCTATGTAAATTTTTCTCCAGTATGTGACTTCACACAAAATGAATCTAGACCACTGATGCAGTACACATGGTACACTTAGGGATTGTAGTTGATAACAACTGTTTGTTTGAAAATATGGTTAGGTGGCCTAACACAGGAATAGCTAAACATTTCAGAATCTGACCTGAAATGCCGTATTGACTAATCAGAATTACTTGAAAACCTTAAACGTTTAATATTTAACTATAGTTTTTAAAATGTTATGGGAAATAAGGTTCTTTAAATCTCTCAAGTGAAGTGTGAAAGCAGCCAATCAAGAGAACATGTTATTGCTGAAATATGAAATGCTAGATATGATTTTTGGAAAAACAAAAAATTCCCAGCCTTGGTCTTCTGCTTCTCAAAAAGATGAATTAAGTATACCTAATAGTAATGGCTGTTTATCAACACAGTTTGTTTTTTTTTTTTTGAGAGGTTTTTGCTATAGGGTGCGTGCGCTCGCCAGAAAGCAAGAAATCACCTCCCCGAGGGGGGGTGGCCACGCCACAATCCCTTCTCCTCCTTTCTCCTCTCAGGACCTTGGGCATGCACGCACATGCGCCCATCTCCAGTATGTGACTTCACACAAAATGAATCTAGACCACTGATGCAGTACACATGGTACACTTAGGGATTGTAGTTGATAACAACTGTTTGTTTGAAAATATGGTTAGGTGGCCTAACACAGGAATAGCTAAACATTTCAGAATCTGACCTGAAATGCCGTATTGACTAATCAGAATTACTTGAAAACCTTAAACGTTTAATATTTAACTATAGTTTTTAAAATGTTATGGGAAATAAGGTTCTTTAAATCTCTCAAGTGAAGTGTGAAAGCAGCCAATCAAGAGAACATGTTATTGCTGAAATATGAAATGCTAGATATGATTTTTGGAAAAACAAAAAATTCCCAGCCTTGGTCTTCTGCTTCTCAAAAAGATGAATTAAGTATACCTAATAGTAATGGCTGTTTATCAACACAGTTTGTTTTTTTTTTTTTGAGAGGTTTTTGCTATAGGGTGCGTGCGCTCGCCAGAAAGCAAGAAATCACCTCCCCGAGGGGGGGTGGCCATGCCACAATCCCTTCTCCATTCTCTCAGGATCTTGGGCACGCACGCACACGCACCCAGCATTGAGTTTAAGCCACCGGGTCCAGGACTCGAATCGCAGTCGACTACATGGGAGTCCAACAACATAGCCATTATGCTAACTGCTGGTCCCTCAACACATTTTTCACCATCCAATTATTTGACATAATTTGTCATATTACACAATTTTGGTACACCAACGAAAGAAGTAAACAAACTTAAATAACTGAATGAGGTTTGGTAGTAATTACAATCAGTTTATAGTTTTAATTTCCATTTCCGTCTGACAATCAGCAAATGACTGTGCACTAACACAGCTCATTTAGGGCAGGCTTAATCCTAACCAGCATCATGTTTAGAAGGACAAGTCTCTTCCTTGACTTGTCAAACAAAATTCTACTTGAATTTCTCAAGAAACATTTGTCTGAGAAAAAATGGCTTCACATCACTCATCCCAATAGTTTGAATCATAAAGTTAACCAGCACGTGGACTATCAATATTCATCTCTTTACACAAACTATCCTTCTTCACACTTTTAATTCCTCGTAGTTTTAAATTTTCTTATTACACTAATAATGTATGCAGAAGCTTTTTAAACTGCAGAATCTCATATAATTCTTGACGAAGGATGTACACTCTCATATACTTGTCTTCTACCAAATTTTATTGAAGTAATCTGAATAATAGTGTAAGAACTAATCTGAATTACAGAAATAAACTGAAGTTCTCTATTGTAAGGAAAGCTTCCTTTATCTTGTCAACTAGTTACTTATGGTTCAGGTACAAGCAGCAGCAGCCCATCAGTCAATTTTCACCTGAAGAGTTTATGTCTTTTTGCAGCCTTACATCCATATTGTATGTTCCCTTCTAACAATTTTCTCTACATTGTAATTTGTTAGGCTCTTTTATCACAAGAGATACATATTTCAATATTCATAATTAGTCTACATAACTTTCCAACATGAGCTAAAGCTGCATTAGACAAATGCCTTTCAAATGTGCTATCACCCTGGGAAAAATTCTTAAGACTTAGGAAAGACATAAGTGTACTACTCTGGCTCTTGTGAGAATGTTTCCTATGGAAATTATGGACAGCGTCACTTGCTTGTGGCCACCAACTGTCATAGAATCTACACGGTCACCTAGCCCTAGCCCATTAGAAAAAAATTAAGTGGGACCAGCAGTTGGCGTAAGGGCTATGTCGCTGGACTCCTATGTAGCCGACCGCGGTTCGAGTCCCGGACCCGATGGCTTAAACTCAAGCCAGGTAGGTGCATGTGCGTGTGTGCCCAAGATCCCGAGAGGAGAATGGAGAAAAAAATTAACATGCACATTTCACAAATGAATGATCCATTCTACCTCATGGTGTTAAAATGTTCATTCCAAAATGGATTATGTGTCGTTTCCTCACAACAAATCTTATTCCAAAAAAAAATCTGTGACACTCAAACAAAATGCAAGTAGTATGTTTTGATAAAACATGGATGAGAGGGGATCGCTGAAATACTAGATAATGAAACTATACTGTAGCATCTTTCCTAAATCTCTTCTACCCTTAAAAAATAATAAATGATTTCCTTCCAATAAGCCTTAACACACGTTCTATAATCACATCTGCTGCAACAAGACTGTTGGTATTTCCTTCAGTTTTTGTGACGCTAGACTGAGAGCAAATGTCGGTTGATTCTATCACTTCAAATACAGGGCAATGACCAAGGCAATATCTGGAAAAAAACCAAAACACTTTAATTTTTAAGACAACTGCAAGCACCTCAAACAATAGGTTATTGTTACAACACTTGTTAGCTTTTCACAATCTAGTTATTGCAAAGGCATATGGATAAATGTTAATGGACAAAGTCAAGAAAAATGAGGCACCTTAATGAATGTAAAATTTAAAATAAAAAGACATTCAATCCACTGACTTCTAAAAGAGGCTAAATATACCTCTGTATATTACATTCTAAAATTGTATTGCCTACTATGGTTTGTGTCCTGGAATCTACAATTAATCCGAAGGAAATGCATGAACAAAACTGTGTGCAACCTGTAAAGGGAAAATCATTTTCTCAACTTCAGTGCATGGAAAGACAATGAAAAAGCTATAAAGTTCGTTGTTGCGACACATACAGCTGCCTGTGGAATGAATGTAATCACTGTTACCTTGAGCTGTGAAGAGCATTCTGCCCATTGCACTGCAAACTGGACATACCATACCTTGGGTTTTATTAGACAAACACGATCATGCTTTTCCAAAAAATATATTTCATTCCATACACCGAGCATGTTTCTCTTGTCCAATTTAATCTACGTAGAGTTTTAACTTACAGTGCTTGGAGGAGGCAACACCACAGAGTACTGGGCCATCACATTTTTTGAAGGGAACCCGCTCTTTTTCTTGTACTTTCAAAAATATGCAAAAATACGAATGGAACTGCTAGATGAGAACGCCTATTTTAGAATGAGAAGCATGTCTTGTCTTCCTTTAAAGTGCCAGACAGGGAATGACATCTTGGGACCCAGAGCCACTTTATTTCAAACCCAATGTAAAAAGGACTGTGATGGAATGAAAAGTTTGCACAACTCCTAGGAGCAGCTCAAGTCTGCCACATGCAATGGAGGCTACAAAGCACTCAAGTCTTGGTAGCTTTTCTGAAATTTGAGTCCCCATCCCATATTTAATGGAAATTAACATTTACAGGGTGCATTTACATACACTATAATACAGGAATGATGTCCCTTTGCCAGAAGATAAAATTGTACATTTCCTTGCTATTTCTTGGTTCCAACTTGATAATTTCTTAAGATTGTAAATTATATAGTACTCAGCTAAAATATTTCTTCATAAATAATTACAAAACCTGCCAAAACACAAAGGGGAAAGTATTTTTCGTTCAAAAAAATGACATTTGAATGTCACACAACACAAGAAACAATGCTTAGAGACATGTAATTGTTTCCAGAAGAAAATGATCAGTAAACTACTCAGCTGAAGACAAAGGACTACCCTTCCCCAGGATCACAGTGCACAAAAAGCAAAATGTCAAACAACAGTACCTCAAAGCAAAATAAAGGTCTGAGGATGAAGCCAGCTCACTTGTAATCCTGTTAAAGAATGAGAGTCACCGTTTAGGTCCAATGTACTGGAAAACATTTGCTAGCTCAGAACGCTATATTTGTTGTAGAATTTGCTACGAATTCAACCAAGGATGCCGAAGGCATTCGCCAGCGGAGGCTCGTTTTTCTGGAACCATTTCTAACATCGGGATCAGGAAATCTGTAAACTGTGCAGCATCTTCATGGGGCCAGCCATACTTTTCCACAAGTACATCAAAGAGGCTCCAGGGCTTCAGCTTGGTGATGTGCCGCAGTTCTCCTGCAGGGAAAAAACACGCCGTGTCAAGAAAGTGCCAGGTCTGCGTTTCCCACTGTTGGTCCAGTCAGGTTCTCTTCAATGAAGCAGAAAACCTACCTGCTCCTCGCTTCAGGCCAATACCACCGAGGCCCACGCTTCCCAGCTAAGCATCGTTACTAAATGTACACATGACCATGTCCTAGTTTGAGGAAGCGCAGCGGACGTCAACGGGGTTCAGTCACATGAGGTGTAGGTCTCTTGACACACAGAGGGGTGCTGAGCATGCCCAGAATGTTTTCACATC